ATTGCAAATGCTTCAGTTTTATCTTTGCACTGATGTGTCATGCAATACCATGTCCATCCCCCAATCTTCAATCGTAGGGGTGTTTTTGGAGTTTCTTCCTCCAGTGTCTGATCAAAGCTGGCTGATCCACCCAAATTTATGCTCATCCTATTTTTCTGATTGCATGATACAACTGAGTGGCTCTCCAGGGTATTTCAGAGGCCAACTCAGAGTCAATATGTAGGCTAAGCTGGGAAAGGGTAGATAATTTCTCTTCCTAAAGGACATTAGTAAAGCAGTTGAGTTTTTATGACAATCCAATTGTTTCATTATCACAGCTACTGATTCCAGCTTTTTAACACCAGGTTTATTTAAATTTAATTTCACCAATGCCACGATCAGATTTGAACTTCCCTCCAGGTCTTCAGCCCAGGTCCCTGGCTTACTCATCTAGTAACATTCTCATGATAGTACCATTATCTGTAAACCAATTTACAAATTCCTCATCTTCCAGGTTTATATTTCCTGAAAGTAACTTAATTATTGACCCAAGTGGCCAAAATAAGCATCAAGTCACTGAGTATAAGATAGCAGCATGCGCCAATGTGCGTTTGATAAGATCATAAGATGTAGGAGCAGAAGGCCATTCAGTCCATCAATTCTGCTCCACCATTTAATGAGATCATTGAATGAGATCAGGAGGAAAGGGGAAAGGGATTGTCAACAGCAGCAAACCCCCTTCCTGATACCGCGTCCCCACAGAGTAGCACAGATTACCTGCTCAGGAAGAGACCCAAGCCTAGGAGCCCATGGAAAACCCAACAAGTTTTGGTCCATGGCCTTTGCAGACTGGTTCTGAGGAAGGGTCACCGGACCCGAAACGTTAACTCCGATTTTTTCTTCACAGATGCTGCCAGACCTGCTGAGCTTTTCCAACAACTTCTGTTTTTGTTCATCATTAATTTGTTGTCGGCTTTAGGGGTTATGCGTGTCAATTGGATCAATAATGATCCAATCAGCTGTGGCCAGGAATCCCACAATCTCCATTCTCCCACAATCAGGATATTTTCTCCCACGATCAGGGCATTTTCTCCCACGATCAGGGTATTTTCTCCCACGATCAGGGTATTTTCTCCTCCCGCAGCAAGACCAAGGCAGGGTCTCTCCTAGTTGCCACCGTTCCTGATATTATGGGTTGTATTTAAAAAAAACTCAAGAGTGTGAGTGCGTCTGTGTATGATTCGCTTTTACCAGGAGCAATGCCCCATCGAAGAGAAAATATATGCAGACATAATACAGTTTTGATAAAGGGGTATTGATATGCAACATGAACTCTGTTTCTCTGCACAGATGCTAGCTGACTTGATGAGCATATCTAGCATTTTCTGGTTTTATTTCAGATTTCCAGTAACTGCAGCATTTTGCTTTAGGGACCTAGCATTGATCCCTCAGGATCACACAAATAGCCTTCTGCCTCCACCCGCTGTCTCCTGTCACTAAGCCAATTTTGGATCCAACTTGTCAAGTTACCCTGGATCACATGAGCTTTCTGTTGTAATTAGACTGTGTATTTGAGATGGCAGCTCAACCATCCTGTCTCAAGCTGCCAGAAAAGCTAACAACGTTTGGGAATCTTTCACTTTGTGGAATGCAGACTGTGTCACAGTTTTAACCTTTGAACAATTGCACTGAATTTGTGACACTGTGTACAAAGCTAATGTCAGAACTTGCAGTACATCGAGCATTTCATTGGCGTGTGGACTCCAGTTATCTTTCTGCGTATGATGAATACTCATTAATGTCAAACAGTTTGCAACCTTTAAGGTGATATCTGTGGCACATGACAATCTCAGGTCACCTAGTTCACAATCATTTAAAGGAGGCATGCTACAGACACTTTGTGCAGTTTTGTGGAAGGTCAGGGGTTTTCTGCAGAGTACAAAGAAAAGGAACCACAGTACAACCTAGCACTGAGGACAGCATGTCAGTGCAGAGGAGTTAGAGGCTGGAGTTGGTGTCAGCACCACAGAGGAATGAAGTGGGAAGGGACTGGTGTCTTGGGTTTAGTAGAGACAAAAACTTAAGCAAATGAGGAACCTAAAGAGCAATGTCCATGCTGTCCTTAGAGGACTTTGAGTTCATTGACACCATTTCAATTCTCCATACTGAGATTAATCTCAGCCAGTGTCCTTTACAATGCATAGAAGGGACAGCTGAGCCTGCATGTCCCACAGAATGGCAAGGAAAACATTGAACAATCATATGAATGTTGAATAATTAGTGAATGCAAAAATACCACATTAATTCTTCCACAATAAAGGAAATGACCCAACATCCCTATAATAGTTAATAAATGTCAACTGAGATGTCTAGGCCCGAAACATCAGCTTTCCTGCTCCTACGATGCTGCTTGGCCTGCTGTGTTCATCCAGCTCTACACCTTGTTATGTCAGTACATTGAGCTCTCTAAGCTAGTTTCTCAAATAAATAATGCACATGTGAATAAAGTGAAACTAATGGAATGTGAAATACTTACAATTGAAATATAATTCTACAAAACATCAGTTCTCTCAACTGTTAGTAAATGGTAATGGCATGGGCAGGAAAGTTGTGGCCATTATACAGAGTCTCTCTCTTTGACCAGGAGGCTGTTAAACAGGCTGCCCAGAGATACAGCTGATAGCAGTTTTCTTCAATGAATAGCTTCCTCAACCAATAAATCCAAAATATTTCGTGTGCACATCACTCACACTTTGAATTTTTAGATTTTTTGATTTGATTTGATTTATTATAGTCATGCATACAGTGAAAAGCTTTGTTTTGCAAGCAGTATGGGCTGATTTCAGCAAGCAAAAGATGTACAGATCAAAAAGACTTAGAGGCATACAGGTTACATTATTTGAGGCTAGGGTCCACTCAACAGTCTGATAACAGCTGGAAAGAAGCTGTTCCTGAATCTGCTTGTGTGTGTGTGTTCAGGCTTCTGTATCTTCTGCCTGATGGAAGAGGCTGTAGGAGATCATTACTGGGGTGCGATTGGTCTTTGATGATGTTGGCCGCCTTTCCGCAGCAGTAAGCCATATAAGTCTATGGATGGAAGGTTGGCTTCCATGATGATCTGGGCTGTGCACACCAACTTCTGTAGTTTCTTACGGTCCTGGGCACAGCAGTTGCTGTACCAGGCTGTTATGCACCCGGACAGTATGCTTTCAATGGTGCCACTGTCGAAGTTGGTGAGGGACCTCATGGACATGCCAAATTTCCTGAGCTGCCTGAGGAAGAAGAGGCGTTGTTGTGCCTTCCTGACGTGGGAAGTCCAGGACAATTTGTCAGTTATCGACACTCCAAGGAACTTGACGCTCTTCATCCTCTCACCCTCAGTTCCGTTGTTGTAGATGGGGGCATGTTCCCCTCCTTTCTTTCTGAACTCAATGATCAGTTCTTTAGTTTTGCCAATGTTGAGAGAGAGGTTATTCTCATTATACCACATCACCAAGCCCTCTATCTCTCTTCTGTAGTTTGGCTCGTCGTTGTTAGAAATCTATCCCACTACTGTGGTGTTGTCAGCGAACTTGTAGATGGCGTTCATTCAGAATTTGGCAACACAGTCATGGGTGTACAGGGAGTACAATAGGGGGCTGAGCGCACATCCTTGGTGGGGGGTTCGATGTTGAGTGTTATTGTGAAGGAGGTACAGTTACCTATCCTCACTGATTGCGGTCTGTGGGTCAGAAAGCTGAGGATCCAGTTGCAGAGGGTGGGGCCGAAACCAAAGTCTTACAGTTTTGAGATCAGTCTGGAGGGGATAATGGTGTTGAACGTGGAGCTGTAGTCAATGAGCACGAGTCTGATGTAGGTGTCTTTGTTGTCCAGATGTTCCAGGGATGAGTGCAGGGCTAGGGATATGGCATCCACTGTGGATCTGTTATGTCGGTAGGTGAACTGTAGGGGATTGAGGCAGGTTGGGAGACTGGAGTTGATGTGAGCACTTCATGATAATTGAGGTCAGAGCCACTGGGTGGTAGTCATTAAGTGACACTGCATGGCAAACAAGGACACACAGATCAAAGGGTGCTTAGACAGAGTGAGGCATATAGGTTACACTGCACACGCGGTGCGCATGGTAAGATCAACATTCGCAAGATCAACATTGTTTGAAATTAGAGAGGTCCATTCAGTCTAATAACGGCAGGGAAGAAGCTGTTCTTGAACCTGTTGATGCTTTTAAAGGGAAAAGACAAAAAAGGCAAGTGGAAGTGATGCACACATTGGGAATGTCACACTGTTCACAAGATCCAGCCCAGTGTTTATTATAGCACGGTTCACTGAAAATTCAATTCCAGTCGTTGTAACTTATTGATGTTTTATTAACATTGCCTCTATAATGCATGTATTATTGTCAACCCCAAAGTCTGTACCTTATGGATATGGACCAAGAGTTGGAAGTTGGGATTAAACTATATAGCTCATTTGTGGCTAGCATGGATATTATGGACCAAAAGGCCTCGACTGTGCTGTTATACCTTTCATGTCTCTCAGTAAGCAGAATAGATTTCACAATTCACATCATGTAGCTGTCATCTCTGCTGGAGAAATAAGCCTGCTCTTACTAGAAGATTCAGTTGTGAGTTACATTTACTGCTATTCCCGGAGATGTTCGAAATAAATTGATTGCTGTCAGTCCTCCTATAAGATCTGCTGGGCCTTTAACTGCTTGACTGAACTGTGTAAGTCAATACTCACTCATCAAAGTTAAAGTACAGCTGCATGGTAATAACAGCTTTGATGAGAGTTGGTCTGGGAAACTTTTTGTCAGCCCTTTCCATTAAACCTGAAAACTTGAAAATGAAGACATTGTTCCCCAATGAATAAGAGAGACCCAACCATCACACACACATGCTGTACAGAACAAGGTCATTTAACCCCTTAGGGTTTGAAGGATGTTTTCAGCTTCTCTGTCACATTACAATACCAGCAGACACACAGTGACATGATAATCAAACTCCTTTATGTTTTCACAGTATGGGATAAAAAAGAAAGAAGAAAAGGAAGCAGAGGCAATGGCAGCCATGGAAGCTCAGGCAGAGGGGAGCTTGACACGGCCCAAGAAAGCGATTCCTGCTGGCTGTGGGGATGAAGAGGAGGAAGAGGAAAGTATTCTGGACACTGTCTTAAAATATCTTCCAGGGCCTCTCCAAGATATGTTCAAAAAGTAATAACATGATTATATGCAAAATAACTCCAGGTTTTGTTGCTAAGTGTAAACCATTCTCATTATAAAATGAGAATTTATCATCATTCCAGCTAATTATAATTTGACTGCTCACCTCTTCCTGTGTAATGGCATGGAATCTTCATCACAACAGAATATCCAGGACAACGCTGTGTGGCAGTCTTGAAATAATCTAATCTGATAAGCCATGTTTATAGTCAAATAAAATCCAGATATTTAATAGTGAAAAGAAGAAACTTGTATCTTTTTATCGATGTGTGACCACTTTGACATTACAGGGCTCCAGCTAGCATTGATTCTTGTAGTTATTGCTCATCATACTAGTTAAATAAACCATCAGGTCACAACACTGGGTAATACCTACAATACACAGCTCATTTACCCAGTTTTAGAACTCAAATTAAACATTACTAATGCTGTTAATATCAACTTGTGGCAATTTTCCAATTTTGGATAGAACTTATTAATGAGTTTAAAGCCTGGGGATTATGGTGTGTTATATAATGGTCTGAAGCTTAACATATCCTATCAATTTTTTTTGACCGCTATGTTGATAGAGCTTTGATCTACTTACTTAATACAGATTAATGCCCCTAAAAAGCAATAGAATGTGATAATGTTCAGTATTTGTATCCTAATATTGCATAATTTCAACTCCAGATTTTACCATTTTATTATATAAATGTATATTAATATCCTGTTGGAATCATAAATTGTATTTTCTAAAATTTACTTCATAGTTCCCATATATTTTTACCTAACATCAATGCTAACAGTGGACAGAGACTTTGTGAATGTAAGCATTACAGCATAATAAATATCCTGTACAGAAATATTCAATGATCACCATACTTTGAGAATAAATCAAAGGGTTGTGCAATGTCAGACGATATACATTAATGTCACAATGTCCTGCTTCTACAGGCTGTGACATGGGATGATGCCTTTATTAAGCATCTGGCACGTCCTATGATGCGTCTCATGCAGACAGGGAGTTGACTTTGTTAAAAACAGTTAACTTCTCCATCCCCTAAATTGAAAACATTTTGCCATTTAAAGTGGGAAATGAGAATCTATGTATTTGATAATGCAAAAAAAACTGATTCCATCAGTTAATAAAACCTCTTGAATATCAAGTTGTATCATGTTAGCTTATATCTTTTTCAAAAATGCCACATAATGCATCATAATGTTTAAAAAATTTCCACTGTTTGCAGAAACCTGACTTTGCCAATCAGGTTCGCAATCACAGCAAATAATTAAAACCCAGCCCTTGGAACAGTTTTGTTCACAGTGTAACTAATCTTTATCATATAAAATTCAGGATGCAAACTTTCAATTTTGAGGAAATATTCAAACTGGTAGGCCACTGGCTCTGTGCTTCCCTTTGACAGCCATATAACCTGTGTAAAATAGACCCACATGAACTGAAGTGGGATGTCACAGCCAGGCCCCATCATTGTTAGCTCTGCTATTTTTACAGGATATTATCATGCCTCCTTTGTCACATATTTGGTATCTGGTGTTTGTCATGTTATGTATTAAAATCTGTCAGAACTGTAAATAGTTAATAATTATACAAAATCAAGCCATTTAAAATTGATGTAAGGAATAGATCATATTGCTGGACATGGGATAATCCCATGCAATTATCACTGTGAAATTCCAGGGAGTGTGGAGAATTCTTGTCATTTGATGATTATTATGACTTGTTTTAGTAGTTAAAACCACTATATCTTGAGTACTGTATTTTCCTCATGTCATACCAGCTGATAAAATATGACTCGGTAAAATATTAATTTTACCAACAAGGGAAAAGCCTGTGGTATTTGAAAATATTTTACGGCGATTAAATGCCATATTTCTCCTGGAACTCTCCAATGAGACTTGTGTTCACTGTAGGGTTGAAGGTGAAAACTACAGTTCAGCTTGACCTTGGAGTTAAACCATATGTGTCCTATTCAGAGTGGAATTGTGCAGGGTACAAGGAGCCATATGTTACATTTTGTAGGGAAAAGTCAAAATTAATGGGCTTGCTGAAGGACTACAAATATTTCTGAATTACAATTCACCAGAAAGGTCAGAATATTGACAGCATTTCTGTATTTAAGTAATGACCCCTGTATTAAAAAATGACGGCAGACTTGTCAATAAAATAAAAGCTAAGAACTGCAGATGCTGGAAAACTGAAACACAAACAGGAAGTACTGGAGAAACTCAGCAGGTCTGGCAGCATTATAGAGAGAAAAATAGAGTTAACTTTTCAAGTCCAGTGAGCCTTCATCAGAACATCAGGTTCTGATGTTTCTCCAGCAATATCTGAATGCAGACTTGTCACTTTACTTAGAACCCATACCCTACCCACCCCTTCCCTTTTCTCTGCCTTTCCTTCTCACTTCAATCAGCCTCTCACTCTCTCCCATCCTGCCCCACATACCTTCAATTCTGTCTCTCTCCATTCCCTTCTCTGCTCCCACTTCTCTCCTCCCTCCCTGCCACTTTATTTTATTCTCCCACCCGTTATCAGTCACACCCTCTTTCCTTTCTTGCACAGAAACAATATAATCTGTCCCCCTTCTCTCTCCCTTACCCCCTCCCCTCCTTTTCCTCGATTACCTGTGCCTACAGCCCCAGTTCCAACACTATTTTAACCATTGCCAGACCTTCCTCACAAAACAAATGAAAGCATTGCCTTCAAATTGAACAGTTTGAATATGATTTCTTTAAAACAAATACCTGTATTGAGTTTTAATTTTAATTAAACCAAAGAAAACATTGCTCCAGATTTATGATTGATGAGGTTTTCCAGTTTGGTATCATGTTGACGTTGGCCATAATGAAAAGGAACCGTTTATCTCAGGTACGGGTTCTTATGTCTGAACATCTTGCTGAATAGTTGAGTGTGTCCTTGAGATTATTTCACTTACAGCCTTTCTGTAGAATATAAGCAAGATACTGCTATCAAGAAAAAAAAACACAAATTTAATTTGATAAGCTCCACGTGTTTCAACAGAGAAAGCCATAAAGTAGGCTTGGCAGTCTTAAATATTTGCTCCAAAATACTGAAGCACATCAATAGTTTATATAAGACAGTGGCCTACAACAGGCATAAGTCTTGGAGTGTAAATTTTCAGTCGCTGTGCAATGTGCTTATATTTGTGACTGAGGCAGAACAAAAGCAATAATATTCTACTTCAACCAGTTAAGAAGGGAGACACAATGGGTAAAATTTTAACCTTAGCTGCCCTTTGGGAGACTGAAGAGACTGATGAGTTAATGCTGGTTTCACAAATCCCAGGATTGTACTTCCCATGGAATTCAGTGCAGAGCAATATCGGTAGGTACATAACCTCAGCATTCCATGCAAATCCCAAGGAAATCTCACCTGGGAACATAGTTAACATGACTCAATGACAAGCAAATTAACATTGGTGATTAGAGGGGCTAAGAGGGTATAAATATACTTTAGCCCAGCACCTTGATTTCAACAATCCAAGGCAGATACTGATCCAGCAGAGAAATGTGATTGAATTTGATTTAAGATTAGAACTGAATAGCTCCATTGTTTATTCAAATATAATTAGACATTTTTAAGACCTCATTGTTTGATTTCATTTTAATTACCTATGAAGTAATTTTAACAAATCTAATGCTAAAGGGCCATTTGGGAAACCAGGTTATATGCTAACAAGAATGGAGAAGTATTAAACAGAAACAAATACCATAATATTAAAAATTGGAGAGTTTAAAATATAATTCAAGACTGCCAAGCCAATAAAACAATGAGACTGCAATATATCTATTAATATACTGGTCTGTGTGAAAAACCAATTTGTTTCAAGTTAACTGTGTCTTTCAATGAGGCTGTTACATTTTCTCATTCTGGTTTCATTATTGTCTCCACAGAAATATGCTAATCACATTAAATTTACTGATAAGAGTCAAGGTTATTCTGTAGTTCAAACCTTTGTTGTGTCCTGAATTGAAGTGTCTGATACATTTTTAGTTGCTTTATCCACAGTCTGTCCATCATCAAACATTTCATTCATTCCATTTTGAAACATTTTAGGAAATTCAATTGGTGCTTCTTGTGATTTTTCAGAGCTTACGTGTTTTGTGTGAATTGGTGAATTTTGTCATGTGAAGGATTTGATCCTGTTTCAGGCTACATGCATGTTGTACTGTCCTAGTAGCAACTTAAAGTCTTTATGACTGAATATTACGTTGATTTTAGCAGCTGTGACATCACTGCATGCTGTCTAAATAGAATTTATTATAATGTTCATCTATGGTAAAATAAAATACAAATAAAGTGACTTCAATCAAATTTGTACATGTGTTTTTATTTGAAAATTAAAGGTCTCAATACTTTCAAATTACTCTGAAATTACATCTGGTATCTTTCATGAGGCTGCTAGAAACACAAAGTCTTCATTAGGGTAAGACATATCAATGTAGCAGATTTCCAATAAACAGCAGGCAAAGTAAACACAAGTAAAAAAGGTCATACACTCAACTTACTTCTTACTACATAGATTCAAAGTGACAGATATAAAAACAAGAAGTTCCTTTTCTTAATGGTGTTTTTAGCAAAGTCTCACCAATGACAGGGTAGGTTTGAATTTTGCATGTGCACATCAAGTGTCCATGTTTAAAATGTCTACTGCCAGAGGCAATGTCAGAAAATTATGCCTACCATCTTTTAGTGTGATTTCCCAAGATAAAAAGTATTTCAAATTATAATGACAACATCTCAATTTCTCTCCATGGTACTCATTGTAAAATGCAGCAGAGTGATGAGGCCTCAAAGAACAGAGGGGAAGATAATCATTTGTTTGTTTGCTCATGGCATCACCGGCTAGGGCAGTACTCAATGCCCACTGTAATAACTCATTGGGCAGTTTAAGAGTCTATATCGTGACTGTGGGTCTGGAGTTAATGTAGTTCACAGCAGGTTAAGGACAGTAGTTTCCTCCCTGAAAGGACATCAGTGAACCAGACAATTGACTGTGGTTATATAGTTGACATTAGATTAGCTTTCTAGGTCAGAAACTGGAAATTCTGAATTGAGTACCTTACCTCCCGACTCGCCAGAGCCTGTCCACCATTTACAAGGAGCAAGTAAGGAGTATGTTAGGTGGATGGGTGCAGCTCCAACAACACTCATGAAGCTTGACACTATCCAGGATAAAGTAGCCTGCTGGATCAGCACCTCATTCATCAATTTACACAATCATTCCCCTCACCAATGTAAGAGAAAAGATTCTTCATTGAGATGATGGATTTTATGTTCTCTAATTTTACACAAGATTCCATAAGATGCACAGAAACAAGCTATTCAGCCCAACAAGTCTGTGCTGTTCTTATGCTTCAATTGAGCCTTCTCTCATCATTCTGCATCTAAATCCATCACTCTAACCCTCTGTTCCCTTCACTTTCTTGTCTAGATGCTCTTTAAATGGGTCAATAATATTTGT